AGCTTTCTACGATATTAAGAGACAATCTCTTCAGCTGGAAAGGTCAATGGTGCCTCCTTCACTTCCCTGTCATGACGTTCATCACATTGGAGATGATGAACATATTAAGTATGGTAACCACATCTACAGGCGCACACAGACGCGCGCGCGGGCGTATGATTATATATATATATATATATATATATATATATATATATATATATATATATATATGTATGTATGTATGTATGTATGTATATACATCTTCATGTGTTTATATACATACATATTTATATTTATATATATGTATATATATATGCATACACATCTTCATGTGTGTATATATATATACTTATTTATATATATCTATGTATATATATATACATATATATATATATATATATATATATATATATATATATATATATATATATATATGTATGTATATGTATATATATATGTATACATATACATATATATACATATATATATATATATACATATATATATATATATATATATATATATATATATATATATATATATATGTATATATATATGTATATGTATACATATATATACATATATATATATATATATATATATATATATATATATATATATATATATATATATATACATACCGATCGAAGCAGATCTTTATGTGTGTGTATATATGTATATATGTATATATATATACATATATATATATATATATATATATATATATATATATATATATATATATATATATATACACATATTCGTATTCATATATATTTATATATATATATATATATATATATATATATATATATATATATATATATATATATATATATATATACACACACATACCGACCGAGGCAGATCTTCATGTGTGTATATATATACTTATTTATATTTATATATATTTATGTATATATATGTATATATATATGTGTGTGTGTATATATATAATATATACATATATATGTGTATGTGTGTGTGTATGTATACACACACACACACATACACACACACACACACACACACACACACACACACACACACACACACACACACACACACACACACACACACATATATATATATATATATATATATATATATATATATATATATACATATATATATATATATACATACATACTGAGGCAGTGGAGGAACGTAGACCGAAGGTCAGACAAGGATTCACGCTTTATATCGCGGGCGAAGTACGGTCGTGCCAGGTGAGAGGAGGAGCTTGTATAAGACGCGGGTATGGGCATCCATTGAGATTAAGGAGGCAATTCCCTTCCGAGAAATCGTTGTCTAAGCTGCCTGACGAAGGAACCTGCAGCTAGTGGGCGGAAGTGGATGTCAGCGGAAGGCAAAACCACACGGGCGGATGAGCAATGCCGTGTTCCGCTGACGAGAGAAAAGGGGCGTTGCCATGGTACTCCGTCACTGCCTCCCTTGGAAAAAGAAGAGGGGAGAGAGGGTTAGGCAGCGACCAAATACGATGCCCCAGGGGAAGATATGTCTACAGCAGAAGGGATGTAGTCGTGGCTGTAGATCGCCGAGGACAGTGTCGCAGCTATGACAACCGAGGGGCTCCCAACAGCTGGGCGAAGATGGGACAACGTGAGAAATCGATCTCCGCTTCTAATTGGCGCGTTTGCTTGGAAAAAATAGTGAAGCGAACTCCTCCCCCCCTTCCCCCCTTCCCCCTCCTCCTCACCCCCTCTCCTGGAAAGGATGGCAAGGGAAGAAATTTACAAACATATATTTAGCCTCAGATTTTCCTCGTGTGGTAAACAAGTCATTCTGAAAGGGAATCATTTTCAGCTTTTGAAGCTTAGAGTAGAAGGGTATTTAGACTCCTTTGAAATTAAAGGAGAAAAGAGAGGCAAGATTGCAGATAGTTTCGACATGCCTCAACAAGACTGAAAACCTGTGCACACTGGATCTCTATAAACACATTTCTTTTCTTCCCTTTCCCTTTGTACCAGAGGAAAGGGTCGTTACCACTTGTTTTCGCTTTCCCAACGGCATCTGTGATCGTTAGCACCGAGAGCGAGATCGATTTCCCACGGCAGTGTTATTCTCACAGGCATGCATACGGCGCGAATCTAAAAATACTGTAATTGTAGTAACAATGGTGATAGAAATGACACATAAAGGAATAAAAATTAACGAATTTACGCTGAGGAAATACTTTTAACCAATGTATATACATACATACACACACACACACACACACACACACACACACATATATATATATATATATATATATATATATATATATATATATATATATATATATATATATATATACATATATATATATATATATATATATATATATATATATACATATATATATATATATATATATATATATATATATATATACATATATATATATATATATATATATATATATATATATATATATATATATATACATATATATATATATATATATATATATATATATATATATATATATATATATACATATACACACACATATATATATATATATATATATATATATATATATATATATATATATATATATATGTATATACATATATATATATATACATATATATATATATATATATATATATATATATATATATATATATATATATATGTATATATGTACACACGCACACACACACACACACGCGCGCACACGCACACGCACACGCACACGCACACGCACACGCACACGCACGCACACACACACACACACACACACACTGTAGGGAGGCGTCGCTGGCTCGGCAGCGAGTACGTAAGATGCATGGAATATGACAATGATACTGGGCACGTATAACAGCAAAAACGCAACGGAATGACGAAAAGAAAGACATCTTGCTTTACCTGGGAGACTGAGATCATATACAAACATACTACGCACGGCAACCTTGTCCTGTAAGAATGTGCAACGGGCTAAATAAAAGACGAAGAGGTCTTCCTTTACGATAGGGACGTCGACAACGGCGAAAAGACGCAAGATACGAAGACATGCGATGCCTGAGAGGGTAACAGTAACACATATCCCTAACCAATCCATCAAAGTCAAATACTCTGAGTTTCGTCGAAGTCTCTATGCATTTGTGCTGAGACAGTGGGAAATTCAGCTCACGGTGTTTGTAGGAAGTCCAGTGTTCAGTGTCAGTAAGCGATGAAGTGAGTACAGTTTCCAATTGAAAGCATTTCTGTACTAAGGTACCAGTAACATGTTCATTCTGTGTGCAGGAAAGGTCAGACAAAGCGAGGGCGAGGGAAACAGGGAGAGGGAACAACATGGGAGGGGAGGTGTGTGGGGAAAATATGGTGTCACTCGTGGGTTCGTGCGTTGGCTTGCACATTTTCGTATTCTCCTGTGTTTTCTGCGAAAATGACATCAGTCGAGATTGTAGAATGTAATTTCAGAGAATTAGTAATGGAGTGTTAGAAAAAGAGGGAAAAATTCACGAACGGAAGTCCCAGATTGAACGGGAGTGGTGAGTGGTGTTACAGTGTGAGTGAGCGTAGGAGATGTGGACGCCGTTTTCTGTTCGGCGGGGAGACTGAGGCATACGCACAGTACGGGATTAAATCGGACTATATGGAAATAATCAAAGAAAATGAAATATCACCTAGATATCCTAACTAAAAAAAAAATTGCGCCTTAACACAATACTCTGACTAACCCTGGAATATATCGTTGGTGACGGGCTGGTTACGGGCTGGTGTGGAACGTCAGCGCGGGGAGGTGGTGGAACGTCAGCGCGGGGAGGTGGTGGATCGTCGGCGCGGGGAGGTGGTGGATCGTCAGCGCGGGGAGGTGGTGCGCCGGCGGGGGGGAGGGGTTCCTTCGTCAGTACCACTTCACTGGATTCCCAGACTTCGGCTCACGGTTGGGCACGGCTGGGCCAGTAAGTCCCTCGTAGGGCGAAGTGCGCCAATTAATTAACGTTGTGTAACGGTGGTACGCGTGAATATTTGCGTACTTGGTGAGTGCTGGAGACAGGATGTTGTCAGCGACTCGACAAGCGGTGTGTCAGGTGTAAGCACACGTAGGTTGCTTGCTTGCTTGATTCTTGTTCTCTCTTGTGCGTGGTATTTATTCTGCGTCTGTAGGCTTGCTGCTTCGGATTGCTTGCTTGCTTGTTGCTTCGGAGGCAGGAGTCTGTTGTGGGACGAATCCCACCGCTGCCACCACTGTAGGGAGGCCGATTTTGCGGTGGAGTGCAGACAGGGCGCGTCTGGCACGATGCAGAAATCTTGGGTAGTGGTCAGGTGTAACAGACTTCTCGGTAGCTTGTAGCAGTTTATTCTCGAGAGAGAGTATAGTACAACTGACGGACAGAGGTCTGGTCCGGTCAGCGTGCCGTAGGCTGTCTGTCTGTCGCTCGCAGGCGACCCTCTTTTATACAGGTTGAAATAGGAATACACAAGGGTTGCGATGTACTGGGAAGTGTTGAGGAAGGGAGTAATCGTGTAGACGGGGCGACGTCACGAGACGGAGGGCCCGCGAATGTCGCATCCGCTGTCGTGTTGAGCAAAAGTATTGTTTGTAGAGATTGGTGTTACTGTATTGGATATATACTTACAAGTTAATAGTGTTATACGTATGGCAATAGTAGGACACGGGAAGGAGTCTGCTACGAGAAGTCCCAAGGGAGTCCTTTAGCTAAAGGGTTATGTGCGACCCTCAAGATCCATTAGCGGGTCTCCCTGGGGATAGGCTATGTGTGTTATGAAGAAGGGCCATGTGTGAAATGGGCCTTACACACACACACACACACACACACACACACACACACACACACACACACATACACATATACTTATATATATATATATATATATATATATATATATATATGTGTGTGTGTGTGTGTGTGTGTGTGTGTGTGTGTGTGTGTGTGTGTGTGTGTGTGTGTATGTATGTATAGTATATATATATATATATATATATATATATATATATATATATATATATATATGTGTGTGTGTGTGTGTGTGTGTGTGTG